TTTGTTCTTTTGGAAATCTTCAGATAAAAAGGTATCCAAATACATCTTCTGTTCTTTACAAGGATAAATTACTACTTTTATATTTCATTCAGAAGTAGAAATTTAAATGAAGATAACAATTTTTGTTATTTTTTAATATTGATATTTACATACACCCGTTTATAGCTAATTATGTTACTATAGACTCCAAGTTCTCAAAACACTAGAAATAGGTGTTTGTCCATTTTTGTGTAAAAAATATAATACAAAGAAACTAACGGCCCTCAATGGCCAGAGAACACACACACACACAAAACACGGCTTCTAAAAACAGGACCAAACCGCTTCTTATAATTATAACTTGGCAACCTTTAAAATGCTGTAGGTTATGTGATATATGGGATTTGCTCATAATTAGCAGGAATAAGGCTAGGTTGGGGGGTTGAGGGGTTAGAGACAGATACAACTAGAACAGCAGCAGGATGCTGACACTGGTTGATGAGTAAGTGGCTGTACATTATTTTATTTTCTGAATATTTGAAAATTTCTGTAAATAGAATTTTTATAAAGTATTTTGCTATTTTATTTGTACAGTCAAGTGAAAAGAACAAGTATATTTTCCAGTACACAACTATTTTAAAGTTGTAGGAAAGGCTACTATTGCCACCTACTGGATACTGTGATTGATTACTTGCTATAAAAATATTAGCAAGCATTTTTAAAAAAATTATTATTTAATAGGTTCCCCCATTCCACTCCAAGCATCTGATTTTTTAACAAGATTTAACATAAATTTGTTTCCCTTATGTGTTCATATTAGAAATGCTAATTAATGTTATATTACATCATTTCTAACTATGAAATGCCACCCGCCAAAAGGTGTATCATAAAATTTTGTTTAGAAAGTACATTGGTAACATGTTACCAATGTACTTTCTTACAATGACTTTGTTTTACAGAAGCTCCCAGGACTTTGTTTGCCCATAGGGGTAGAAGCTATAATTTAAATTATTTACACATAGGGACAGACCAGAAAGTTAGAAACTGTCCTGGCTCTTCAGTTTAGTGCATTATCTTTCTTCCTCTCAGTCTTTTAAAATCTTGATTTATATTACAAACTTTATATCTTTTATAACTTGGTTAATTACATACAACAGTGATCTTCAGCCCTAGCACATCAGAATCACCTGAGAAATTTAAAAATAAACAGATGCTAGTATCAAAGGCAAAGATTTTTTTCATCCAGTCAGCGCTAAAAGAACTATTAGATACCAATGGTTATTAAAGTGTGGTCCATGGACAAGCATCATCATCATCACCTGGTTAGAAATGTAAATTTTCAAGGTCCATCTGAGATCACTGCATGGGGACCAATAATTTGTGCTTTGCAAGCCCTTCAGGTCATTTGGATGCAAGCTAAAGTTTAAGAATCACTATTATTTACTATAAAATCTATAAGTTTTTACTTTTTTACATACAAAATTTAATTTACTGATCTCTAAAAATATATTTTAAAAATATTTGCATTAAGTAACATAGTTCAATTCTACTATTTTTCCAGAAGCATACCATTATACACATTCAACAAAGTCCTACTTAGTCAATAGCAAAAAAATGCTTTAATGAAAGAGTAGGGAATAATTTATTCATAGGCCAGTTACTAAGACCCTAGAATGTTCCTGCCCAGAGCAAGTTTTCCAAACATATTTCCTTATTCCGGTTTGTTCAATCAATAAGGTGCCTTTCTAAGATAAAACAAGGCATTTTAGCCACATCAGACACTTTGACTAGGAATGCCACTTCTAGAAATAAAGAGAAAAATAAATTATGCTTCAAGATTTTCTCCAAAGCACTATAAATAAGGGAGAGGGCACCCTGAAAACAGTTAAAAGTACAACTGAGGAATGATTCCATAATTTAGAACATCAACTGAATGGAATAGTCGTCGACCATTAAAGTGATGCTTTTCATGTAACTTTTTAAGTAATATGAGGGAAATGCTTACTTTATAACATCAAGTGTGTATGCACTCATGAGTGTTTGCATATATACATACACACACACACATTCTGTTTCAGGTGAAAACAACAAAGTATCAAAATATTAATGCTAGTTATCCCTGAGTGGCAGAATTATGAGTGATTTTAAAAATATTTAATCAGCGTTTTTAAAAATTTCATCAATAAGAATATATTTACTCTATTAACTAGAAGAAAATCTACACATAAAATAACAGAGCTTATAGTCTGTGAACTAGAATCTTGAAACAATGATTAACCAGCAAGTTTTCAAATGACAGTAACTGTGGGAAACAAGCAGGTGGTTTCCTCTCCATTCAGCTCACCCAAATCTTTCTAACGTTCTTGTTTCTTTCTTCACATCAGCCCTGCCATGACCCCTTAACTAGAGATACCAAGAGGCTGAAGTGTAATTATTCAGTATTTAAACATTTTATATATGTTCAGTTAAACACTTTCTCTTAGAACATATAAAAAGGAGGTCAAATGGTCTAATGGTTGAGAGAGTCTGAGGCCTTCAAAATCAGACAGATCTAGGTTTGAATTTTATTTTGTCACTTCTGGTACATGTAATACGGCAAACCCAGACCTGAGAGGTTCTTTACCTCTTCCAAAGGAGTCACCCACAGATCCAGCAAGGAAAGACACTGGCTTATTAGAACACATAGGACGGCTGGGCTCGGTAGCTCAGCCTGTAATCCCAGCGCTTTGGGAGCCCGCGTGTTTGAGGCCCGTCTGGGCAACTTGGTGAGACCTCATCTCTACAATAAATAAAAAATTAGCCGGGCATGGTAGCACACACCTGTAGTTTCAGCTACTTGGAAGGCTGCGGTGGCCGGGGGCATGCCACTGTACTTGTCTGGGCGACAGAGTGAGACTCCAATTAAAAAAAAAAAAAAAGAACATATAGGCTTGTGTAGTTAATCCTTACTTGTACCCCATGTCTCTTAAAATAATATTTAATTTTTTAAAAAAGAACTTACAGGAAGCACCAATGGCAGCTCAGATGGTGAGGAAAGAGTTCGTGCCTTGGGGTAGCACAGTAATTTTATAGGCAAGCAAATCAATTAATCACATTCCTATCCTGTGTGTATAATTACAGTGATTACACGTGATGCCCACTTTGTTTTCAACTTTGCTTGGCCACCTGCCCCCAGTGACTTACTACTGGGAATATGCATACCCTCTCAAGACCAGTGCTGGCTAGAGGCTGCTCTCGGGGGCAGAGGCAGAAAGAAGCCAGATACACGGGAAAGAGGCAACGTCCAGACAATTACCTCATAGATCATCACACAAGTTTCACTTTCCTCATCTGTAAAATGGGAGTACACTCTTCTCACTGAATCTCTAAGGATGACATGAGGGGGTGCATATAAAGCCTAAGTAGTAATAGTTGCAGTCTTTAGTCCATTTTGTGTTGCTGTAACAGAATTCCTGAGATGAGGGCACTTTTATAAAGCAGAGATATATTTCTTACAGTTCTGGAGGCTGGGACATCTAAAACTGAGGGGCCGGCATCTCATGATGACTCTCATGCTATATCATCACGTGGCAGGAGGTGGAGGGGGAGAGAGTGAACACACAATTACATGAGAGCCTTGTTGCACAAGTCCTTCTATAGCAGCATTAAACTATTCTTGAGAGCTCTACCCTCGATACACCTCCCAGCATTGCTGTACTGCTTTTTGGAAGACACATTCAAACCATAGTAGCACTCAATAAAAGGCAATTGTTGCTATTGTTTTGCAGTAATGTTACTGCTACTCTTGGTGAACCTAAGCTTTAATTTCCCTGTGGTGTAGTGTGGTAAGTGGTCATTCATAGTCACTTGGACCTCCTAGACCATTAAAATTTCAAAAATACTTTTGAAGACCTACCTAGAGTTGTCAAAATTTTCCTCACAAAGTGGTTATTATTAAATGGTAAACAAATGTACCATCAGATTATTTCATAAGAGAAAAGGCATTTAAATACTCCCCCCAAAAGTAGAAGATAGCCTGAACATAATAATGCCCAAGAAAGGACAGTTGGCATTTGCATGCTAAAATCATCATTTTTTTTTCACTTTGTCACATACCAAAAACACTTATGGATTAACACTGATCTGCAGACTGCACTTGGTGAAATAGACTTTATTTCTTATGAAGCATACAAACTTACTTCTGATTCTGCATACAAAAATAAAGTTGTTTTAGCTAACTCATGGGGATGTGCATTCAACAAATTCTAACCAAATACTTACTACACTATTAAGCATAGGAATTCAGGATCAAATAATGTCAAGTATACGAAAACATGATACACAGTGGGTTGTATACTGCAAAGCATCATAAAAATATAAGGTATTATTATGACAAAAAATATAAATATAGCATGACAAATTGACTCCTAAGAGGAAAGATTACCCACACACGTTTTAATGGCCTAGTAATTTTCTGTATTTATGCTCTCACAAATGATGTTCAGAACTCTTTGAAGTGCACATTTTCCACTTTTTTTTTTTAGAAAATAGTCACATCTGTGATATAGCTCATGATTGCCATTCTTTGTCTTATGGGAAGTAAGAATATCGCTATTCCCTCGATAGTTATGGCTCCTAAGGGAGAGTCACCAAGCTAGAAATTGCTGCTATAATTACCTGTGTGTAGACTCTAGATTCTAAAAAAGAAAACATGACAAGATCTAAAAGGCAGGTTCAGGCTAGGCGCAGTGGCTCAAGCCTGCAATCCCACACTTTGAGAATCCAAGGTGAAAGGATTGCCTGAGCCCATGGGTTTGAGACAAGCTTGGGCAACCTGGAAAGATTTCATCTCTACAATTAAAAAAAAAAAATTAGCTGGGTGAGGTAATGCTTGCCTGTAGTTCTGGCTACTTGGAAGGCTGAGGCAGAAGGATCACCTGAGCCCAGTGGGTCAATGCTGGGGTGGCCATGAGAGTTCCACTGCACTCCAGCCTGGGTGACAGAATGAGGCCCCAACCCAAAAAAATAAAATAAAATAAAAGGCAGGTTCAGACACAGAGAAAATTTTATTTTCTTCTTGAAACTGTTGTAAGGTTTTCAAGTGTTAAAATTCACTTTCAAGTGTGATGATTGAGAAATGACAAGACACTAAATGTAAAAATTATGCAGTTTTATAATTTCTCTGTTGTTTCTTAAACCACTGAAAATAAATTCACAGTTCAACAAATTTAGGCAGCTTCTTTGTTACTCTCTTTGGTTTCTACTTCTTTAGGCAACAATGGGTCAATCTTCAATAACAAACCTTCACTTGTTGAACTACGGAGGAAGGCACGTACCACAAAGGGACCTGTAAATAGAGACAAGGATCAACTGGGATTTTATCCGTAGATACCTAATTAGCAAGTGCAGTAAGTCCTCACTTAATACTGTCAATGGATTCTTGGAAACTGCAACTTTAAGCAAAATTACTTATAACAAAACCTACTTTACCATAGGCTGATTGATAGAAATAAGAGTTATTTCTGATCACAAAAAATATCACCAGTACATACTGCGGGCTCACCCAGAGCTTTTGTACTGAGTCATTTATTGTCCCACATTTAGATAATGATTGTATTCACCCTTTCATTTTCCAAACCACTGATTCCAGTTGAGGATTATCAGTGGCCAAAGCCTATCCTGGCAGCTCAGGGAGCAAAGTGGGAACCAGCCTAAACAAGACACCATCACATTGCAGGATACACTACACACACATACCCACACTCACTCTGACAGGGGCCAAGTAGGCATGCAAATTAACCTGATTTGAGCACCTGTAGCATGTAGGCGGATACCACAAGCCCAGAGAAAACTCACGCAGATATGGGGAGAACATACAAACTTCACACACACAGTTGGGAATCAATTTTTTCCTCATCAGCATAATAACAAAATGGTGTTGAATGAAATGGTGTTATTTGAGGACCTCAAATATGCAACAGGAAACCTTATAGGACTCATGTCATATATTCACTTGAAAAGTACTGTATTACTGAATATTTTGAATTAAAGGAAAGGGAAGATAGTTACATTTCTAGAGTAGAAGACAAACTAGCTATTCTCTAGACTATTATGAGATTTATCCTTGAAATTATACACATTCACTAATAATTCATTTTTCTCTTCCAGAAGATAATCACCTAGAATTTATTTTACTGCAAAGTCAACAGTAAAGGGAACAGGTGGTGATATTTACATTTGATGGAAATATTATAAATATTTGCTTAAAACAGCACAGATGCTACCTTTGTGTCAGCACACAGTTGGTAAAATTTCCTAAAAATTAAAAAATTTTTCATAAGAACAATGTTAACTGTTAAAAGGCTTCATTTAAAATGGTAAAAAGAGAATGACAACATTGCTTAGAGGATTTACTGTCCATCATTCTACTCCTGCTACAGTCTCAGAGGATCCTATATTAAAAGCAAAGTTTTCCATGGAATGTAAGTTTCCATACAGAAGCAGCTACTAAGTAGTATAGACATATTTAGGGTGATAGAATTAACAAATGAGGTATTCATTTATTAGTGTGTTTAACTCACAAAGAAGGTGAAAAGTAGCTTATGTTTTAATCATAAATTTGACTATAAAACTAAACCTGACAAATTCCTATCATGGTAAGCCTATCAGTGAATAGTCAACTGGGTATATAGACTCTTGCTTGACTCCAACCATCCATGAGTAAAATTTGTTTGAAGAAGGAATTCAAATGGCCCATAATGCAACGATAAGGCACTAGTCTGCGTTCTAGCCTATTACACAGCTTCCACATCTTAGCCAGGTTTAGTGAGTCTCCATGAATCACCCCGTCTACACAAGGTGACTTTCATGAAATAATAAAAATGATAAGAAAATCAATTGCTCATGCCAATGACAAAGTGAATGATCTTACTTCAAAATACTTCATAAAGGATTTTAGCTCCTATGTAACAGCATTATAAATTTAAAGCAATCAGTTTCAGTTTTCTTTCAGAGTTAACTACATTTAATGGTAGAAATAATATGGGAATTTACATGTGTTGATTCCTTATTAATGCTAAAGAGGTTGCCTCTCTAAATAACCACAACTCATAAGTAAGATAACTAGGCATCCTTTGGAGAATTAAATTTTATTTCGTTTATCTAATCCTTGGAAATGCTGTTGCTATTGTACTTGCACCTTAACTTGATTGTTTTCTAATATTTTATATATTTTTAAGTATCACAGGGAAGTCTACTCTCAGTAAACCACTTACCCAAACTCAGCGGTCTATGCCTACAAACTTCATTAATAACTGCTTGCAGATTGGCAGCTATCTGGTCACTTGACATATCCAACTGAAAGAAAAAGACATACATCATTAATGATCAGAAAGTGAGATGATAATACAATTTCGATAGCTGTGTCAGTATTTATTCTAGATTATTTTTCAAATATATAATCAATGCAATCTATGTATTAAGAGACTCTACTGTGATAGGAAAAAAAATTACTGTTCTTTTAGAATGCTACATTTACATGGTTTAACATGTCAAGATTTTATTACCTCCTAGAATCATATTATAGAAAAGTGTTTGGAAGTTTTTCCACTTGAGAGTGTTTGACTTCCAAGTAATTTCCCCAAAGCATATCCTGAAGCAGACTATACCATTTCCCACACCCACCCCAAGGAAACAGTGATATTTTCTCTTGAAGTTATTTGTTGATACACTCCAAAGGAAACTAAGAAAATGTTTAGAAATTAGTGCTTTCACGAGTCCAAAAGAAAACTACTTGCTACGTGCACTCAGACAATACATTTCTCATACCAACATTTTCAGGATGCTGTGCTAAGATTTTTAAAACACTTTAGGCAATAACAAATATCTTGCCATTTAGTAAAATCTATAGTAAGCTAACATAGAGTAAATGTGACCTATTCATAAAATTCCTAAACCAAGATTACACGCTTGAAAAGTCCTTGTGTTTATCATTCAAATTCAACGAATGTTATTCTTCTGAATATTTTGGTTAGAATCAGTTATATTACATTCAAATGGTTAGAGGATTTTACATTGTGCCAAATGAGTCAGTTTTTAAAAATTCATATAAAACCTGTAATAGTATAATTGGGAAAATTATACAGTGAGAGAGTTCAAGTTCAAACAAGATTTCTATTTTCAATGACTCTGAGACCATTGTGAGAAATGTGCATTTGTATTCACATAAGCATGTTTTCTACCATCATCAAACATTTATTTGGCATGATGCATTACCAAACCCTAAATGAGAAAGTTTGGACATTATTGGAGAAATTCTCACTTTATGCTAATCAATAAGTGGGAATTATGAAAGGAAAAAAAAAAAAAACCAAAGCAATGCGTAGTTCACCTTAAGTTCATAGATTTCAATTTGCATTAGAGCAAGTAGTTCACTGGTAAAGAAGGCACCTTACATATTTTATGTTTAAAAAAAAAAGGAAAAAGACTAAGGACATCAGCATGTGTCCCACCTTCTTTCATTCCCCTCTTATTTCTCCACTTTGCTTCAAATGGTACTTCATTCTATTATCAAGTGAAGGGACAAAACCACTACATTCTTTGCTAAAGACTGATACTTATCTTAAATTTGGAAAACGGATACAAGAAAAAGCAAGATTTCCAACATATGTTTTTAAAACAGTTACAATCTGTTTGTTATGCTATATGGACTAAACGTCTCTATTTTTGGAGCTATATTTTCTGCAGTCTTATATTGCCAAGTCTATAGCAAGCTAAAATGACAACATATGCTTTAGAAATGCAAAACAATTACTTCCCCTGCAACTTTCATTATTAGGAAGCCTTCAATAATTTCATTAATTTAAGTTTCAAAAAATACAAAATTATTTTAAAACATAATTTACATTTTTGTTCAAGTTTTAGCACTTCTAATCTATAGCAATGTGCTCTCTACTGAATTCAAAAATGCATTTATAGCCACATTTAAATTTATACTTTAGATATTGTGCAAATTTATGGAAAAGTTACATTTTATAGGCATTACTGTGATTATTAAATTGGCTAACGATGACAAGATAGCTATGTATGAAAACAAGTTATATATGTATATGAGTTTCATCAAAACTTGTATAGGAAATTTACTTGGGCTGACAATCATTTAGAAATAACTCAGGAGAACAACATTTGCAAGCTTTTCTGCCTATATCTCAGTTACTCTGCACTTCCAATGGTGTTTTCCAATGTGATAACATTGTGTGGTCTTAAGAAGGCAGGAATGACTGTTTTGAGGAAAGAATATAATTTATTCGATTCTCAGTAGTACAGCATATGACTTGGTTCAGTAGGAGAAAAACAAAGATGGATGAGGTTGATCTTGAATGGAGATATGGAACTATGCTAAACACTGTATTTTTGTTTGTGTATGTATGTGTCTTTGAGCATATAATAAGCACAATACTATCTAGGTTTGGCTTAAGTTACTGTCCACTATAGGACAAAACAGACATTCCTCATTCTGAAACAATGTTTCAGGATGTTTTCAAGAAAAGGCTGCTTTACTGAATCCTACTTTCTGCTCAGTTTCCTTTATTTAATCAGAAATCATTCCCTAAGCTGACTAGATTGAAGACTTTTACCAAAGATGTCAGGGTAGTGCTCAGTGAATGCAAATGAACTCTATGTCTCCATCTCTTTGCTTCAACTCTCAGATTTTCCCCTTGCCCTCCAATTCTCAGTTTTTATTTCACTAATTTTCTTAATTAAGAGAAAACTAAAAATCAGTAATTGTTAACCATTTTTGTCCCTTTGAGAAGCATATGTTATATTTTATCTCAGGACAAAAAATAATCACAAACATGTCACCAAGATAGTAATTCTTAAATGTTTTTAGGTCATTGAACCTTACTCCAGAAAAATATACACAAGTACATCACAAAGTTTAGTCTATGCTATCAGCTCTTCATGGATTCTCATTTAAAAGACAGGCAGGCAATGCACCAGTGGCTCACGCCTATAATTCTAGCACTTTGGGAGGCTTAGGCGAGAAGATTGCCTGAGCCCAGGAGTTTGAGACCAGTCTAGACAACATGGTGAGACCTCGTCTCTACAATAAATCCAAAAATTAGCCTGGCATGGTAGTGCACATGTAGTTCCAGCTACTTGGAAGGCTAAGGTGGAAGGATCGCCTGAGCCCCAGCAGGTCGATCATAACATTGCACTCCAGCCTGGGAGACAGAGTGAGACTTTAACTCTAAATAAATAAATAAAAATAAGCAAATAAAAAAAGAGGGAATAAAGACTTCTGAGGAAATTGAGTTAAAAGGACCATACTTCGAGAATTACTAGTACAGAGGTAAGTCTGTTCAAATATTTTGGGGGAATAAGGATTACAGTGTGAAAAGATTTTTACACTGTACAGAGGACAGAACTAAAAAGAAAAAAAAAGTATATATACATGATATGTATTTTTTATTATTTTTATTTTTTAAATTTTAAATATGTGGGGTATAATTCAGGGTTAGGTATACAAATGTTCATTATGCAGGTATATACATGATTTTTAAACAATCACATGCTCCTTCTACAGTGACTAGCTTCTGCCACTGTAAATGTTGACAATCTCTAGATGACTAATCGTCTCTAACTGGAAACTGCAGAGAGGACTGCTACTTTGGATAAGCACTTGTTAGATCACCTGACCTCAAAAGTCCCTTCTAAATGCAATAGTCTAAGATTATATAAAGTGTGGCCTGGCAGATGGTTTCTGCAGATGGGCCAGTATTCTTAACCCCTGTGACTACTGGCACTCTAAACCAAGAAAAGGAAGATAAACTATATGTTTCCTAGACAACATAAAGTAGTAGTAGTAGTAGTAATAATCAATTGTGCAGCTCTATTTATTGGGTACTTACGCTGAGCTAAGCTCTGTTACAAGTGTTTACACAGGTATTCTCATTTATTTCTCCCAAGTGTCCTATGAAGTAGGTACTATTATTATTTCTTGTTTACTCTTAGAAATTGAGACATAAAAATCTTTGTAACTTATCTAAGGGCACACACATGGTAACGAGTGTCCCAGTAGCTACATACAAGAGCATTTAAGGCAGACATGTGGATGCGATCCCCACTTCTACCACCTCCTAGGTGACCCCATACACAGCTATGGCATGCTAGTAATTCTTATGGAAAATGACATATCAGCTGTCTAAAAAGTCCAAATGAGTTTGTTGTAAACTAAGGGGAGAAAACAGGGAAACTAAGAAAAATACTAAAAAGAAAGGAAAGTGCACTTAGGGAAAAAAATGAATTTTCTCTTCACTACCTTCTTTATTTTTTTTAGATGTTAACACCATATAATTTAGCAACATTTACTTAGCCCCTACCCTTTATCAAACAACACACTAGGAACCAGGAACAGAAAGATGATTAAGAAACAAAGTATAGGCCAGGCACGGTGGCTCATGCCTGTAATCACAGTATTTTGGGAGGCCAAGGCAGGAGGATGCTTGAACCTGGGAGTTCGAGACTAGCCTGGGCAACATAGCAAGGAATCATCTCTACAAAAAATTGAAAAATTAACCTGGTGAAGCCCTATAGCCCCATAGTCCCAGCTACTTGGAAGGCTATTGTGGAAGGCCAGAGTCCAGGAGGTTAAGGCTGTGGTGAGCCATGATCCTGTCACTGCACTCCAGTTTGGACGACAGAGCAACTCGACTCAAAAAAAAAAAAAAAAAAAAAAAGAGAAACCATGCCCTCAAGGAGCTTATAATCTAATCACTAAAATGCAACATGACAGGTGCCACTCTATATGAACAAAGTGCTACAGGGGCACAGAGGAAGTAACTGACTTTGACAGGCACGCCATCACAAAGAAGGTGATCTCTAAGCTGAGACTTAAAGGATGAAGAGTTTTGAAGGACAAAGACAGAGGCAGAGGAAACAGCATGAGGCAATGTGAGAACAAGGTGGATCAGAGGACCATGAGGTAACTTATATCTGGGCCCAGGGTTTCAAACTCAAATGCCTACAACAGGCAAAGTAGGGAACACACTCAACCGAAGTCTGGTTTTAAGTGCATATGCAGATATCACTTGCATGACACAGGTAGGGCAAGTGTGGAGAACACAGCCCTGGGTGGAAGAGACAGCAGCTTCTCAGGGATAGCAGATGTTACAAGGGAGGTTGTGGGACCAGTGTCAAAAGAACTCCTGATTTGTTAAGAAGACCTACAAATCTGAACGTCCAGGTGATATTATTCAGTTGTTAAATGTTGATTCAATAAAACCAAACCAAATCAAACCCAACCACTATTTGGGCCCAACAGAGTAAGTCTGGGGGCCAAATTCAGCCTGTAAGCT